ACCATCATCCACGCCACCATTGCCATCAGCATCGCCCATGGTCATTATTTTCTTCCCCAGGTCCCCACCTGTTAAAATGCCTATCCTGAAGAATCTAGGAGTGTCAGACCCTAAGGTGCCCCGGGCAGGAACTCTGCCCCTGAGGTCCTCTCAGAACCCCTTTGAAGAAGTTTCAGGGCTGGAGGAAGAAGAGGCCGGGGAGCCGGGGTCGCTCCCCAATGGAGCATCTTGTCGCCGCCGCGCCACCCTGGAGAAGCTGGCAGGCCTGTCCCCCTTCCGGCTGGGCTGGGCCCCGGGCCGGCGGGCAGGCAGCCCTGGAGATGGGCAGCCCCGCTCTTTCTTGGGCCGAGTGCTGGTACCAGGGTTACGAAGGAGCTCGGCAGATTTTGGCCTCCTGGCCCGGCTGCAGGGGACCCGAGCCCATGGCGATGAGGAGGCAGCCGGGGAGGCCGCCCGGAGACTGGCCTTCCTGAGACTGGGGCGTGGGTCCAAGCCCCAGCGTGCGTCCCTGGCGGAGAGGGTGGTGCCTGCAGGCGAGGCAGCTCCAGAGCCCCCACCGAAGGTCCCGGAGCCCCCAAAGATGAAAGAGCCATTGTCAGGTGAGTCCGGGCCCTGGCCCAGAGCTGGGAGAATCCCAGTGCCCATGTCCTTCCCCAGCCCTGGTGGTCTCAGGCTCCATACTTAACCCCATCCCAGCCGCCACCTGGGACCCCAACCTCCAATTCACACGTCTAATGCACATGTCCCATCTCCATGATGGCTCCAGCCCACTACCACTTCCGTCCTAATTGCTGTCATCAACCTTCCTCTTGAGCGCCACCTGATCACACATGCTCACCCTCAATCTCTGCCGCCACCCCCTGCCGCCTGCAGCCCCACTCCTACATCTAACGCCACGAGAATCCCTGATTTCGGTCCCATCTCTCCCCCTTCCCTCTCTATCCCCCATCTATTTATTTATGTATTTAGTTCATTTTATTTTTATTTTTATTTTTATTTTTATTTTGAGACAGAGTCTCACTTTGTTGCCCAGGCTGGAGTGCAAGGGTGCAATCTCAGCTTACTGAAACTCTCCAGTTTAAGCACTTCTCCCACCTCGGCCTCCCGAGTAGCTGGGATTACAGACACCCACCATCATGTCTAGCTAATGTTTGTATTTTTTTAGAGACAGGGTTTCACCATGTTAACCAGGCTGGCCTCGAACTCCTGACCTCAAGTGACCTGCCTGCTTCGTCTTCCCAAAGCACTGGGATGACAGGTGTAAGCCACGGTGCCTGACCAATTTCTTTTTCTTTCTTTCTCTCTTTTTTTTTTTTTTTTTTGATGGAGTCTGACTCTGTCACCAGGCTGGAGTGTAGTCTCAGCTCACTGCAACCTCTCCCTCTTGGGTTCAAGTGATTCTCCTGCCTCAGCCTCCCTAGTAGCTGGGATCACAGGCACATGCCGCCATGCCTGGCTAATTTTTGTATTTTTAGTAGGTACCGGGTTTCACCATGTGGGCCAGGATGGTCTCGATCTCCTGACCTCGTGATCCTCCCTCCTTGGCCTCCTAAAGTGCTGGGATTGCAGGCATGAGCCACCACACACGGCCCAATTTCTCCTTTTTATGAGGACAGCACTCATACGAGGATTAGAGTCTACCTGTGAATTCATCTTAATTTGATTGCCTCGGTAAAGACCCTATTTCAAAATCAGGTGACATTCTGATGTACTGGGGTGAAGCGTTCACATAATTTTTTTCTGGGGGGGATATAATTCAATCCCTAACACCAGCCCATCTTCATCTTCAGCCCCCATTCCTACTCCAAGCCCCGGTCTCTTCCTCAGCAATGCCTTTTATGTTCTCACCCCACACGTATTCCAGCCCCATCATCAATCTCTATCTGAGACACACCCAAAACCTTCTCCTGCAGCTCGCCCTTTTCTTCAAATGCCATCTGTTTTTGGAGACAGGGTCTCACTCTAACTCCCAGGCTGGAGGCTAGCCTGCAGGGGTGCAATCATGGCTGTCTGCAGGCCTGACCTCCTGGGCTCAAGCAATCCTCCCACCTTAGCCTCCTCAGTAGTTGGGACTACAGGCACATGCCACCACATCTAGCTAATTTTTACATTTTTTGGAGGGATGGGGTCTCGCTGTGTTGCTCAGGTTGGTCTTGAACTCCTGGCCTCAAGCAATCCTCCTGCCTCAGCTTCCCAATGTGCTGGAATTACAGGTGTGAGCCACTGCGCCTGGCCCAAATGCCATAGTTAATGTCATTGTCTATGTCCAATACCACGGCAACCCCCAACTGGCCCAGTCCCGTTTCCTGTCCCATTCTTCCCCATGTCCACCTTCAGCCCTTTTTCACTCTTTTGGTCTCCTTTTAACCCCCAACCTCAGGCCCCTCTCACCCATTTCCCTCCAGTGACCTCCTTTTTTTTTTTCCGTTGAGACGGGGTCTCACTCTGTCGCCCAGGCTGGAGTCAATGGTACAATCTCGGCTCACTTCAACCACTGCTTCCTGGGTTCAAGCAATTCTCCTGTCTCAACCTCTCAAGTAGCTGGGATTATAGACATGCGCCACCACGCCTGGCTAATATTTTTTGTTTTTGTTTTTGTATTTATAATAGAGACGGGGTTTTGCCATGTTGGCCAGGCTGGTCTCGAGCTCCTGACCTTGGGTGATTCACCCATCTCAACCTCCCAAAGTGCTGGGATTATAGGCATGAGCCAATGCACCCAGTCAGCAACCTCCTTATTCAGCCCTATTCAAGTTCCTAGTCCTTCCTCAGCCCCAGTTTCTTTCTTTCTTTTTTTTTTTTTTTTTTTTTTTTTGAGATGGAGTCTCACTCTGTCACTCAGGCCGGAGTGCAGTGGCTCGATCTCGGCTCACTGCAACCTCCACCTCCCGGGTTCAAGCAATTCTCCTGCTTCAGCCTCCCAAGTAGCTGGGATTACAGGGGCCTGCCGCCACATCCAGCTAATTTTTGTATTTGTAGTAGAGACAGGGTTTCACCATTTTGAACAGGCTGGTCTTGAACTCCTCACCTTGGGATCCACCTGCCTCAGCCTCCCAAAGTGCTTGAACTACAGTCGTGAGCCACCGAGCCCGGCCCCCATTTCAACTCCAACTGCAAACCCAACCTTCTCTTCATCCCTGTCTATCTTCACCCCTATCCTGAGTCCCAATCCTAAACCCCCATCCCCAACCTCCATCTTCAATTCCATCCACGTTCCTATTCTCAAGCCCAACTCACTTCCACAATTCATCTTGAAACTCACATCAGTCTTGATGTCCTTTCTATCCTCAGCTGTCACCTACACTCCCCTCCCCCACCTCTCCAACCCCCATCCCTACCCAGACCCCACCGCCATTCTTGCCTCCTTCCCCATTTCTGTCCAGACTCCCACCCCACCTCATGCTAACCCTCAACTCCCGCATCCCAACCTCCACCTTCGCTCCATCCTCATCTCCAGCCCCATCCTCATCCCTGTCCCAATCCCCATCTTCATTCACCGACATCCCCAACCCTGCCTTTATTTCTGCTCTCTGAGCCTGCACCCTGCTCTTAGCCCTGAGGCCTGAGCTGCTCCAGGGCTGGGGACCTCAGGAGCGCCTTTTCTGTCCTCCGATGCCCTCCAGGTTCTGGCCAGAGGCTATTTCGGCCGCAGCTCCCAGGGGACTGGGAGGGCACTGGAGGGAGGTGAGGAGGGGGTGAATAGAGCCCCGCCTTCTGGAAACGGATGGGCAGAAATAGCGCTGGCCAGGAAATAGTTTCTCTGCCAGGGAGGAAGTGGAGGGGGGTGGAGGTGTTGAGGGTAGCCCTGGGCTGCCGGGACCCTCCTTCAGCCTCAGAGGCCTTCCAGCCCCACAACTCCCCTTTCTCCAGGCAGTGTGAACTCATCAGAGGGCCAGATCACCCCACAGCCATCCCCACCCCAAAAAGACCCCATCAATTGTCCCTTATCCTCTCCCAATCTCCAACCCCCCACCCTGCCCCTCCTGCTCCCACTGGCTGCGTCCATCCCTGTCCCCCTTACCTGGCTCCTCTCTCGACCCTCCCACCTCCTTCACCCCCTCCATTTCTCTGTCCCCCAACCTCCCCAGATACCTTCCTCAGATACATGCATTTTTCTTTTCTCTCTCTTTTAAGTTTTTATTTATTTTTTCTTGAGATGGAGTCTCGCTCAATATGTTGCCCAGGCTGGAGTGCAGCGGCGCAATCTTGGCTCACTGCAGCCTCTGCCTCCCGGGTTCGAGAGATTCTCCTGCCTCAGCCTCCCGAGTAGCTGGAGTTACAGGCGCCCGTCACCACGCTTGGCTAGTTTTTGTATTTTTAGTAGAGATGGGGTTTTGCCATGTTGGCCAGGCTGGTCTTGAACTCCTGACCTCAAATGATCCGCTGGCCTCGGCCTCTGAAAGTGCTGGGATTACAGGCGTGAGTGAGCCCCTCACCCTGCCCCCTCCTCTACATCCTTCACCCTACACCCTTCTTTCTCGCTCTTCTCCAGGCTCTTCTCTGCTCCCACACCTTCCTGCCTTCTGTGACCCTCTTCCCTCATCCCCTTTCCTTTCCTAAGCACCCCTACCTTCACCCCCGCGTCGGGCATCCCCCTCCTCCCCGACCCCATCGCTGATGCTGACCTCCCGCCTCCCCTCCCGCCTACCCGCAGTGCTGGAGATTCTGAGCCTGATCCAGCAGCGCGAGCTCGCGCGCGCCGACGAGCACATCCTGGAGCTGGAGGCCGAAGAGCTGGCGTCGTCGGGGGGCGGCGCACCGGGGCCTCCCAAGGCCGAGGGCGCTGGCGGAGGCCGCCGGGCGCGGGACGTGGCGCTGCTGTACGAGGCCCTGCAGCGCGAGCTGTGGGCGCTGGTGCGCGAGACGCTGGCGGGTCCCGGGCCGGGCGCGGGCGCCGGGGCGGGCGCGGTGGCGCAGCTGGGCCAGGTGCTGGTGCAGGAGGAGGCGGCCGACGGGCGTCGGGGGCCCGAGGCGGCTCGCAAGCTGCGTGCCCGCTGGGCCGAGGCCGTGGCGCGCGCGGCCCGGGAGCGCCTGGAGGCGGCGGCGCCCGGGGCGCCCGGGGGCCTGGCCGGGCAGCTGGAGGCGCTGCGGGCGCGGCTGCTGGAGGATATGGCCGTGGTGCGGGGCCGCCTGGCGCCCGCCTACCCCGCCGGCCTGTGCGCCTTCAGCGTCTACCTGCGCGGCTACCACGGGGCCCTGGCCGAGTGGCTGGGGGCCTCCGCCCGGCGCAGGCTGCCGCTGGCCGACCGCTACGCGCTGCTGCATTGGCACAACCAGGTGTACCCCAGGTGAGCTGGACTCTGTTGCCCACGATGGCGTGGAACCCCCAGCTCCACCCCCTAGCGCTGGCCTCTTCAGACCCTAAGGACCTTGGGACAGCTGACCCACCAGTCGTAGCACCTTAACACCATCGACCCATCCAGTCGTCAGCACCGCTGACAGTGACAGTCCTAGAATCTTCCTGCTACCCAGGCCCTCGGTTCCAGCACCATGGACCCTCCCAGTCCGGGAAGAGTCCGGCACCTCTGTGGTCCGAGAACCTCAGCGCTCTGTCAGCACTTACACTCTGGATCGTCTCACTGTCCACCCTTCCAGTCCCGCAATCTTAGCACCGTGGATTCCTCTAGTCCTAGAATGTTGGCTGCTAATGTCTCAGCACCATTCATTCTTCTAGGCCTACAACCTTAGCACCACGGGCAGTTACACTCCTAGCAACTGAGTAACACTGATGCTTCCAGTCTTAGAATCCTAGCACTACCACCCTTTCAGACCTAGAACCTATTGGCACCACGGACTCTTCCAATTACACAGTGTTAGCACCATCGACAATTTCAGTTCTAGTAGCTCAGCACTGTGGACCGGCCAGATCTTGGCATCGTGACACTTACGCTATTTCGATGTTCACCCTTCCAGTCCCAGAGTTTTAGCACTGTTGACCATTCCTTCTTAGAACCACAGCCCTGCTGACCCTTAACCTTAACATGATGACACTTAGAATTCTAGAACCCTACACTGCTCTCTTTAGAGCCTAGTACTAAGCATCATTAGTACTGTTGATGCTTCCAGTCTTAGAACTTAGAATTTATGACTCCACCACAGAAGCTTAGTACCAATGAACTTTGGAATCCTAAGCCTTCACCTCATTCCCTCTTTCGGTCTTAGAACCTCTATGCTGTTGATACTTCCAGTTTTAGGACTTTATTTATTTTGAGACGGAGTCTTGCTCTATTGCCCAGGCTGGAGTACAGTGCTATGATATCTGCTCAATGCAGCCTCCACCTCCCAGGTTCAAGCAATTCTCCTGCCTCAGCCTCCCGAGTAGCTGGGATTACAGGTGCCTGCCACTATGCCCGGCTAATGTTTGTATTTTTAGTAGAGATGGAGTTTCACCATATTGGTCAGGCTGGTCTCAAACTCCTAACCTCAGGTGATTCAGTCTGTCTCGGCCCCCCAAAGTGCTGGGATTATATGTGTGAGCCACCACACTGACCTGATTTTTTGTATTTTTAGCAGAGGCGGGGGTTTTACCATATTGGCCAGGCTGGTCTCAAACTCCTGATCTCAAGTGATCCAGCCACCTTCGCCTCCCAAAGTGCTGGGATTACAGGTGTGAGCCAACATGTTTTAAAACTTTAGGCCCAGTTTTAGGACTTCAGTGCTGTTCGCCCCTTAAATTCTTTAAGGGTCGAGACTAGAACCTCAGTACCATGGTCCGTCCCAGTCCTGGAATCTGATTACTGTTGAGACTTTGTGTCCTAAAACATACCCATTCTTATGGCCAGAGGATGGAATATTAGCTACCCCCAGGTCACCTGTCTACCCCAAGAAAAGGGAGTTAGCCACATCCAAGCCACACGTTGGACAGTGAAGGGGGTGGGTGGTTCTGACAACAAAATCAGAATGCTGTCACCAGAAGACTGGGAAGGCAGCAGATACATAGCTCTCATTCGGGAATGGATGTCGATCACACTCTCAAGTTATCTGTAAGGGATGGAGGCAGGACATGGAGTCCGGAAAGCTTCCTGAAGTGGTGGGAACTGAGTTTGGTCCAATTTGTAGAGAGATGGTGTTTATAATTGAGAGGTTGCCATGAGCCCAAGTCTGAGGCGTGGGGGTGGATACTGATGATATCACATGGCTCCAGGCATGTAAACCAGTAGAAGGCGGGGAGTGAGGGCTGGACTGGGGAAGCCTCCAAGGCCAGGTAAGGCAGCAGGGCCTTGGAGCAGAGGTGCAAGGGAGCTTCTGCCTGGTGCAACCGATCATGGGCGGAGCCTTGCGTGTCAGATCTTCAAGCTTGGACTTGACCCCTAAATATCATGCCCGGACACCATCCATCAGGGAGCTGACTCAGAGAGCTGGAGCCGGGGGAGCAACAATTCCAAAGACTTCCTTTGAGGGATGAGCACAGCTGACTTAGAGAGAGGAAGGGCGTGGCCCAGGGTCACAAGCAGTGGGTAGGAGGGCGTGGGGAAGGGTCCGACTGCCCAGCCCCGCTTCTCACAGACCTCCTTGTCTCTCACCCCCACCCTCAGGGAGGTCCTAGGGCTGGTGGACATAGCCGCCCTGGAGAATGGGGAGCTGGGGCCCCTTCTGTCACCCGGCACCCTGCGGGGTTTGGAGGATGAATGTGTCACAGATGTTAAGGTACCTGGGACTTTGTATTTTGGGAGTGGGAGGTTCTGTGGAGTGAGGGGGGGTCACAGTGGGTTTGGGGGGGCCTGTCCCTTCCCCCCTTTTGCTCTTTCCATCTCCCTTTCCCCTTTGTGAAAATCTGAGTTCTGTCCATATGCCATAGACACAAAGGCCACCTGTACAGAGACACTTGGTAAAGGTTCAGTGTATCTGAACACTTCAAACCTTAGAGTACGAGAAAGTTAGTCACAGAACTGCAGCTCCCAGGCCCAAAGACTCACAGAAATATGGCATCAGATATATATATATATATTTTTTGAGATGGAGTCTCACTCTGTCACTTAGGCTGGAATACAATGGTGCAATCTTGGCTCACTGCAACATTCGCCTCCCAGGTTCAAGCAATTCTCCTGCCTTAGCCTCCCAAGTACCTGGGATTACAGGTGTACACCACCACACCAGGCTAATTTTTGTATTTTTGTAGGGATGGGGCTTCACCATATTGGTCAGACTGGTCTCGAACTCCTGACCTTGTAATCCGCTCACCTTGGTCTCCCAAAGTACTGGAATTACAGCCATGAGCCACCACGCCGAGCCAATTTTTTTTTTTTTTTTTTGAGGCAGGGTCTCCCTCTGTTGCCCAGGCTGAAGTGTAGTGGCTCACTGCAGCCTTGACCTCCTGGACTCAAGCGATCCTCCTGCCTCAGCCTCTCCAGTAGCTGGTACCATAGGCACCTGCCATCATGCCTGGCTGACAAAGATCTTCACATATAAGCAGGGCTGGTAATAAACATGGTTAATTACTGGACATGTACAGGCACTGCTGAGCAGAATGGCCCAGCCATGCATGCCCTGCCTGGCTCCAGTGGTTTTGCTGTCTCAATGCCAGTCCTACTTCCAGCCACAGAAGTCAATCAATGCCGCTCAAGAGACTAGAACCATAGAAAAGGAGTCTGGATCCTTAAACTCATCCAATTGAAGAGAACTTTTTTTTTTTTTAATTAGAGCTGTTGTGGCTCACGCCTGTAATCCCAGCACTTTGGGAGGCCGAGGCAGGTGGATCACGAGGTCAGGGGTTCAAGACCAGCCTGGCCAACACAGTGAAACCCCGTCTCTACTAAAATACAAAAAATTAGCCAGGCATGGTGGCACACGCTTGTAGTCTCAGCTACTCAGGAGGCTGAGGCAGGCAAATTGCTTCAACCCCAGAGGCGGAGGTTGCAGTGAGCCGAGATGTTGCCACTGCACTCTAGCCTGGCAACAGAGCAAGACTGCAGAGACAGGGGCTTGCTATTTTGCCCAGGCTGGTCTCAAAATCCTGGCCTCAAGCGATCCTCTAGCCTCAGCCTTCCAAAGTGCTAGGAGTACAGGCATGAGCCACCCCAGCCGAAAAATAACACATTTGATCAGAGAATCAGAGACGTGAAAACCTTTGCATCCCAGCCTTTGGAGTTCTTGAAACACAGAATCTGTCCCCCAGTCTGGGGGACAGAGCAAGACACTGTCTCTAAAGAAAAGACAATATTTAATGTATATAAGATTCAATACATATCATAATATGTAATAGGATTTATATTAAATATAAACATTAAATATATATTATTCATATGAACATATTAATATATGAATATGTGTATTATTTATAGTATATTATTTATAATATATATTTATATTTATTATATTAATACAGATTTTCAATATATAACATGTTTTGTGTACTATAATATATAATATGTAATATATTACATATTATATAATACATATTAATATAATATTAATGTATTAACTATTAATGTAATCCACATTATATAGTATATACTAATATGTAATATATAAATATATTACATAACATAATATTTAATAAATATATTTGTATATTAATTTTACACACACAGGCACACACACACGTAAGTCCTTGGCTATCAGATGGAGGAAGCTTAAAACCACAGACTTATTTTATTTATTCTTATTTTTGAGATGGCGTTCACTCTGATGCCCAGGCTGGAGTGTAGTGGTTCACGGTCCCCACTCACTGCCACCTCTGTCTCCCGAGTTCAAGCAGTTCTCTGGTCTCAGCCTTCCGAGTAGCTGGGATTACAGGCGAGACCACCATACCCTAATTTTTGTATTTTTAGTAGAGACGGGGTTTCACCATGTTGGCCAGTCTGGTCTGGAATTGCTGACCTCAGGTGATCCGCCCACCTCAGCCTCCCAAAGTGCGGGCATTGCAGGCGTGAGCCACCTCGCCCAGCCAAACCACAGACTTTTAATATAAAGTTCCAAACCACAGACGGCGTGGGAAGGGCTGAGGGAGTTTTCTGGCTCCACCCCCCTCCCCAGCATCACCTTGACAAGCTCACAGGTAGAATCCAGAACTGCTTGGGGCTAAGGGCTAGGGGATGGTGGTGGAGAAAGAGATAGAAAAAGACCCCCGGGCAGCTCCCAGCTCCTGCCTGTCTCTCATGTCTCCGCTGCAGGCTCAGACCCGGGCCGCTCTTCTCCGCGTGCTGCAGGAGGACGAGGAGCACTGGGGGAGCCTGGAGGACCAGCCCAGCAGCCTGGCCCAGGATGTGTGTGAGGTAGGAGGTGGGAGGAGGCCGTGGGGTGGGCTGGACAATGCAGGCATGGGAAAGTGGGACCTGGCCCCGTTCTCACCGCTTCTCATCCCCTGGACCTCGAAGCTGCTGGAAGAACACACAGAGCGAGCGCCCCGCATCAGCCAGGAATTTGGGGAGCGGATGGCCCACTGCTGCCTGGGGGGGCTGGCAGAGTTCCTGCAGAGGTATGGGGGCCTGGGGTCTCGGGTTAGCTCTGGCCGGGCTGGGCATCGGGGCCTGGGATCCAACAGAGGGAAGAGAGATGAGAGGGAGTCACCTGGGGACAGGTAGAGTGCCACCACAGGGATGGTGGCTTTCGCAGGCTGGGTGCCCAGCAAGGAACCCTGACCCAGCAGCACACCGTCTGTCCCCTTTCCTCCCACCAGCTTCCAGCAGCGAGTGGAGCGATTCCACGAGAACCCAGTAGTCCGGGAGCTGCTACCTGACACCTATATCAGCAAGACCATCGCCCTGGTCAACTGCGGCCCCCCTCTGAGGTGAGGGCACCCATGGTGTGATGGAGGGAGGACCAGTCCAAGGTGGCAGCTGCCCTGGGGTTCCGGGATCCTGGGTGGGGGTTGCAGAATGGATTCAGGGGAGCCTGAACATGGGACCTTAGAAGCATAAAATCTGGGAGTCCTTGAAACAACCATAGCACCACAAAGCATCCGAATACTGGAGTGTTTGAATTACAGAAACCTAGATGCCGGATTCAAGACTCTAAGAATAATATATATACACACACACACATATATATGTGTGTGTATATATACATATATATTATATATGTATATATGTATATACATACACACATATATATGTGTGTATATATATACATATATACACACATATATATGTGTATATATATTATATATGTATATAAACACATATATATGTATACACACACATATATACATGTGTATATATGTATGTATATATGTATATATACATATATGTATATGTGTGTGTATATATACACACATATATACACATATATGTGTGTATATATGTGTATATATATACATATATACACGTATATATGTGTGTATATATATATATTTGCATTTTTATCTTTTTGTATTACTTCAATTTAAAGAGAGCAGGAGAGAGAGAGATGGGGCTTAGCCAGTCGTGGTGGCTCACACCTGTAGTCCTAGCACTTTGGGAGGCCCACATGGGTGTATCTGAGGTCAGTAGTTCAAAGACCAGCCTGGTCAACATGGTGAAACCCCATCTCTAAAAAAATACAAAAATGAGCTATGCCTATAATGCCAGCTACTTGGGAGGCTGAGGCACGAGAATCGCTCGAACTTGCGAGGTGGAGGCTGCAGTGAGCCAAGATGGTGCCACTGCACTCCAGCCTGGGCAACAGAACGAGACTCCATTTAAAATAAAATAAAAATAAAAGTTAGCCAGGCTGAGATTGCGCCACTGCACTCCAGCCTGCATGACAAAGCAAGACCCTGTCCAAAAGAAAAAGAAAAAAAAAAAGGCCGGGCACGGTGGCTCACACCTGTAATCCCAGCACTTTGGGAGGTGGAGGCGGGTGAATCACCTGAGATTGGGAGCTGGAGACCATCCTGACCAACATGGAGAACCCCGTCTCTACTAAAAATACAAAGTTAGCTGGGTGTGGTGGTTCATGCCTGTAATCCTAGCTACTCAGGAGGCTGAGGCAGGAGAATCCTGAATCCAGGAGGAGTAGGTTGTGGTGAGCCGAGATCTCACCATTGCACTCCAGCCTGGGCAACAGGAGCAAAACTCCATCTCAAAAACAAACAAAAAAAAAAGAGTTAAGGGTAGAATTTCAGAGTTGTAAACTATTAGAACCACAGACTTTGGGAACGGAGGCCTCCCCACTCTCACCCAGAAAGCACCAAGAAAAACTGAAACCCAAAGACCCAGAGAGACCCTCTTCCCTCCTCCAGTGTACCCTAGACCTCCTAGCCATCCATCCCTCCACCCCCCAACATCCACGAGTGCCCTGACATCCCTAGACACCCCAATCCCCAGACACCCCCAACCTGTCAAATATCTCTGACCTTCCCCAGGCCCCCATCTGACCTGTCACCCCTTGCCCCTCTGCTCCACCTAATAGGAGACAGGTCTAGGCATTGGGCTGAGATGTTGGGGTCCCTCACTTTTGACTCTGTTGATCCCCACAGAGCTCTGGCCGAGCGCCTGGCCCGGGTGGGGCCCCCAGAAAGCGAGCCAGCCCGGGAAGCATCTGCCAGTGCTCTGGACCACGTGACCCGGCTCTGCCACCGTGTCCTGGCCGACCTGCTGTTCCAGGAGCTACAGGTGAGTGAGGTGGGAGGCTGGGGGTGGGGCCCATGCCAGGACAGGGAAGCACCCCCCCATCCTCCAGTTCCCTTTAGCCCATGACTCAGTGTTTGGGAAGCAGACGGGACGGGGGGGGGCCATGCCTGGGCTGTCGGTGGGGTGGAGAGGGTACAGGAAGGAAGGCGTGGGAGGACGTGATGGGGAGAGAGCACAGGGCCATCAGCAGGAGGGGCTTGAGGTTTGGGTGGAGCCTTCCCCCACTAAGGTCCCCCAAATCCTTGCTCAGGCTCTCCTAGACCGCAGAACCCCATACCCCCATCTCTGGGCCCTTGTGCTGTCCTATAGGGGCTCGGCGCAAAGGCGGGTGAATGAATGTGGTGTGGGGTGGGAGCACTGAGGAGGGAGCCTGCAGGGGGACTATGTTCCTGGCCATAACACAGCTCAGTCCATGTTACACCGTGGACCCCTCCCCTCCTCTGCTCAGAATCCTCCCACAGCTCCCAGCTCACACAGAGCAAAAGCCAGAATCCCGCCATGGCCCCCACGGCCCTGCACAACCAGCCCTTCCCTCGCCCCTCTCCCTCTGAGACCTCATCTCCTCTCCCTGCCACTCCTGCTCCCCCCCATAACCCCAATCCAGCTACCCCAGCCCCCTTGCTGTCTCTTATTATTATTTTACTCTGTTTTCTTTTGAGATGGAGTTTCACTTTTGTTGCCCAGGCTGGAGTGCAATGGTGTAATCTCGGCTCACCACAACCTCTGCTTCCCGGGTTCAGGCGATACTCCTGCCTCAGCCTCCCCAGTGGCTGGGATTACAGGCACGCGCCACCACGCCTGGCTACTTTTGTATTTTTAGTAGAGACGGGGTTTCTCCACGTTGGTCAGGCTGGTCTTGAACTCCTGACCTCAGGTGATCTGCCCGTCTGGGTCTCCCAAAGTGCTGGGACTACAGGTGTGAGCCCCTGTGCCCAGCCACCTCGCTGTCTCTTAACCCAGCTGGTACATTCCTGCCTCAGGGCCTTTCCACTTACGGTTCCCTCTGCCTGGAATGCTCTCCCTCTCACGGCCACATAGCTCCCTCTCCAGTCTCTTTCAAGTCTTTCTTTTTTTTGAGACAGGGTCTTGCTGTGTCACCGAGGCTGGAGTGCAGTGACACAATCTCGGCTCACTGCAACCTCTGCCTCCCAGGTTCAAGCGATTCTTCTGCCTCAGCCTCCCTAGTAGCTGGGATTACAGGCATGCACCACCATGACCAGCTAATTTTTTTGGTATTTTTAAGTAGAGATGGGGTTTCACCATGTTGGCCAGGCTGGTCTTGAATTCCTGGCCTCATGTGATCCACCCACCTTGGCTTCCCGAAGTGCTGGGATTACAGGCGAGAGTCACCGTGCCCTGCCTCAAGTCTTGACTCAATGTCACCTCAGCGCGACCTTCTCTGATTGCCCCATTTAAAAGAAAAGCCCCAACCAGGGTGTGTTGGCTCACATCTGTAATCCCAGCACTTTGGGAGGCCAAGGCAGGTGGATCACTTGAGGTCAGGAATTTAAGACCAGCCTGGCCAACATGGTGAAACCCCGTCTCTACTAAAAGTACAAAAATTAGCCTGGTGTGGCAGCATACACCTATAATCCTAGCTACTCCGGAAGCTGAGACAAGAGAATTGCTTGAACCCAGGAGACGAAGGTTGCAGTGAGCCGAGATCGTGCCATTGCACTCCAGCCACCTGCCACGCTATATCGTTTGCTTTTTTTTTTTTTGAGTCTAAGTCTTGCTCTGTAGCCCAGGCTGGAGTGCAGTGGTGTGATGTTGGCTCAGTCCAACCTCCGCCTCCCGAGTTCAACTGATTCTCCTGCCTCAGCCTCCTGAGTAGCTGGGATTACAGGCACACGCCACCACACCTGGCTAATTTTTGTGTTTTTAGTAGAGACGGTTTCACCACATTGGTCAGGCTGGTCTGGAACGCCTGACCTCAGGTGATCTGCTGGCCTCAGCCTTCCAAACTGCTGGGATTACAGGCATGAACCACTGTGCCCGGCCTTATAAACCACTATGTATTTTTTGTGAGAGAGACAGAGAGAGAGAGAACGGAAGCAGAAGAAACAAGGACAGACTGAGAAAACAAGACAGGTCAGGGAGGAAGGAAAGGAGAGAGACGGGACAGAGACAGAGGGAGAGACATCAGACATGGTGGCTCACACCTGTAATCCCTGCACTTTGGGAGGCCAAGGTGGGTGGATCACGAGGTCAAGAGATCAAGACCATCCTGGCCAACATGGTGAAACCCCATCTCTGCTAAAGATACAAAAATTAGCTGAGTGTGGTGGAGTGCACCTGTAGTCCCAGCTACTCGGGAGGCTGAGGCAGGAGAATGGCTTGAACCCAGGAGGCGGAGGTTGCAGTGAGGCGAGATTGCACCACTGCACTCCAGCCTGGGTGACAGAGTGAGACACCAGACATGGTGGCTCACACCTGTAATCCCTGCACTTTGGGAGGCTGAGGGAGAGGACTTCTTGAGTTCAGCAGTCGAAACCAGCCTGGGCAATATAGTGAGACCCTATCTTTCAAAAAAAAAAAAAAACCCAAAAACCCAAAAAAGAAAATCGGGCTGCCCTCAGGGTGAGAGAGAGCAAGAGGGGGTGCTGAGGCCGAGCTGAAGAGGGAGTTAGACCCCCCATGGACACCATCCTGGGACTATCTGCAATCCTCGCATGCCCTGTGTCCACCCAGACACAGCCTCCCCCCGACCCTCCCCAACCTCTGTCTCAGGGACAGACCCACGGCCTACCCGTCTCCAGGATCTGCAGTCTCCTCCCTCCCCTCTCCATGGGGGCTTACTTCAAACTATGAATTAAGCCACCTGGCTTCTCCTTCCCCCTCTCCTCTCCCCCTTTCATCCCCTCCCTATCTCCACTTTCCCCTTTTTTCCAGCCTCCTCCGATCTTGGTAAAGCACAAACCTGACCCTCTCCCTCCCCAGTGCCCTCAGGAGAAACCTGGGACTTCTCCCCCAGCCCAGGAGGCCCTGTGCGTTCAGCCCTGCTCCAGCCCCACCTCTCCCCTCCCATCTTACGCCTGGAATAAGCCCCCTTGCAGGCTTCAGGGTCTCACAGCTCCCCTCACCCCCAAAACACACACTTCAAAAGGCCCAAGCTTGCTTTAATCTCTTCTGTCACTGTCTTAAAGTCCTTTTTTTTTCTCTCTCTCTTTTTGGACAGGGAGAAAAAAGGTTTTATTTTTGTTTTTTTGAGACAGAATCTTGCTCTGTGGCCCAGGTTGGAGTGCAGCGGCATGATCATAGCTCACTGTAGCCTCAACCCCCTGACCTTACAAGATCCTCTCTCATCAGCCTCCTAAGTAGCTGGGACCACAGTTAATTTAATTTAAAGAAAAAAATTAGAGAGGGGGTCTCACTATATTGCCAGGTAGGTCTTGAACTCCTGGGCTTAAGCAATTCTCCTGCCTCAGCCTCCCAAAGTGCTGGGATTATAGACGTGGGCCACTGTGCCTGGCCCTTATTATTTATTTATTTGTTTGTTTATTTTTTGTTTTTATTTTGAGATAGAGTTTTGCTCTTGTTGCTGAGGCTGGAGCGCAGTGTCGTGATCTCAGCTCACTGCAAACTCCACCTCCCGGGTTCAAGTGATTCTCCTGCCTCAGCCTCCCAAGTAGCTGGGATTACAGGATCCCACCACCACGCCAGGCTAATTTTTTGTATTTTAAGCAGAGATGGGGGTTTCCCCTTGGGCTGGTCTTGAACTCCTGACCTCAAGTGATCCACCTGCCTCAGCCTCCCAAAGTGCTGGAATTACAAGCATGAGACACCGTGGCCAGCCCCTTAATAATTTTCTAATGTGGTCTGCCCGGCTACAAGTCAATTCTAAAAATTATGTACTCAATTCATTTGGTGGATTTGCAAGGTACAATACTTTCCTTCATTTACCAGTGAAAGAAGTAGAAATTAACTTCCCCCCAAAATCAGCAAATGGCAAACACATTTCCTTGAAAGTCACAGTCGCACATACTGTGCATTCTAGAAAAGAGGGGGCAAGACAGGCTCCACCCATTTTCACAAGTCTCATCAAATACCGGATCTACCCAAGGGTGGAGAGAAAAGGCAACTTGCAAAAAGGAGGATGTTATTAACTGAGACATTTACTATACTCCTTCCTAAGAGCGCCAGATGGGGAACGTGTTTTCTCAACCAGATCTAGGAAGTGGAATCTGGAAGCAATCCGGCTTCTTACCCTGAAGGGTGGTATATAGTTCATGAATTTTAAAAATATGTCTTAAAGTTCTTAATTTCTCTCTCTCTCTCTCTTTTTTTTTTTTTTTTAATGGAGTCTTGCTCTGTCACCAGGCTGTAATGCAGTGGCACAATCTCAGCTCAGTGCAACCTCTGCCTCCTGAGTTCAGGTGATTCTCCTGCCTCAGCCTCCCGGGTAGCTGGGACTACAGGCGTGTGCCACCACACTCGGCTAATTTTTGAGATGGCATTTCGCCATGTTGATCAGGCTGGTCTCAAACTCCTGAGGTGGCGATCACCCACCTCAGCCTCCCAAAGTGCTGGGATTACAGGTGTGAGCCACTGCACCCAGTCCCAGCTAATTTTTAAATGTTTTGTAGAGACAAGGTCTCTCGATGTTGCCCAGGCTGGTCTCAAACTCCTGGGCTCAAGCTGTCCTCCTGCCTCGGCCTCTCAAAGTGCTGGGATTACAGGTGTGAACCACTCTGCCCGGTCCTTAATAATTTTTACATGAAGTCCCTGTTTTCATCAGTCACACTGACCTTTCTCTGGTTCTCTCCCTGGCCTGCCCATCTAAAATCTGAACTTTAATACTCACTCTTCTCTCCGATTGAGTCACTCCCTCCCAGTCCCTCACTTGGCTAAGGAAGATCATCACCAGGGCTTCAGTTCTGGTGTCCCCTCCTCCAGGAAGCCCTCCTTGGCTGTATGCTGAGTGGGGCATCCCCTCTGGGCTTCTTAAGCCTGTGGGCTCCCTGGTTCCAGCCTTGCCAGCTTTGGGTCATCACTACCGGGGACCAGTCTCTCTCCCCTTCTGGACCGTGAGCCCCAGGATGCCAGGCCTGGGGCTATCTCTTTCCCTTGGGTTCCCAGCACCACACAGCCCTGGTTCTACAGAGCGGGGTTCCAGGAACATATTCCTAAGTGAAGAAGGGAGGTGGGGGGGAGGAGAGCCGTGACCCCCTACTCTGACCCTGCCAGCCGCACTTCAACAAGCTGATGCGCCGGAAGTGGCTGAGCAGCCCTGAGGCCCTGGATGGCATCGTGGGCACGCTGGGCGCCCAGGCCCTGGCTCTGCGCAGAATGCAGGACGAGCCTTACCAGGTACGCCTGCTGGAGGGGAGGGAAGATGGTGGGGGGGGGGAGAAGAGGGGAGGGGGAAAGGGGAAAGCGGCGGGAAGAGGGGAGATTGGGAGAGCAAGAAGCTCCCGCTGCAGGAGACCCCTCCAAGGTGGGGAGCGGCTCCCTGTAGATGGAAGAGGTGGCCCTCTGCGGAGGGGCGTGTGCGTGGGACTGGGGTGAAAGGCCGGGCGCAGACTGAATCAGGGCCCCTGAGAGGGGAGCTTGGGGAATGGGAAGAGGCTGGGATGGAGGATCCTTTCGGGATAGGTAGGAGGTGTCCGCAGGCTAAATAGGGAGCCAGGGAAGGGCATCCTAGGGTAGTTCAGGGGTTGGGGGCTGGGGCGTGGGCACGGGAAGGGTGCCCACGGGTAATGGGTGTGGGCGAGTGGGGCTGGAGTGGCCTTCAGTCTGGCGGGATGGGGGTCAGTGGGGCAAGCTCACGCCCCTTGGGTTTCCCTCCCCCGCCTCCAGGCGTTGGTGGCTGAGCTGCACCGGCGGGCGCTGGTCGAGTACGTGCGGCCCCTGCTCCGTGGGCGCCTGCGCTGCAGCTCGGCGCGAACCCGCAGCCGCGTGGCCGGGAGGCTCCGGGAGGACGCGGCGCAGCTGCAGAGGCTGTTCCGGCGGCTGGTCAGTGTCGGGCCAGGGGCGGGGCGGGTGAGGGGCCGGGGGGGGGATCGGGGGGCAGCGAGCCGGGGTGCGGGGACGGGGGGGGGGGGGGGTAGGGGGAGGGGGGGAGGGGGGCGGGTGTCGGGGGCTGGGGGAGGGGGGCGGGTGTCGGGGGCGGGGGGAGGGGGACGGGGGTGAGAGACGGCGCGGTGGGGGCGGCTTTCAGAAACCACGAGGAGGCTTGGCTTGTGAGAATTCCAGGTCTCAAAAGCCACGGGCACAGGGGCTCAGAACAGAACTTGGGGTCAACAGCAGCCGTTAACAGGGGTGTATCCACACCCTTGGCGCTTAAAACCTGTCTTTCTTGCTCCCAGAACTTACCTCTGGGCGCTTTCCTCGGCTGCTAAATAAGGCGAATAATGGTCCCTATCCATTGCTTTCAGGATCAGATTGGTTAATTACAGTTAAGTGCCTAGGACAGTACCTGGCTCAGACTTAAAACACCATGAATTACCAAAAGTAGCCGGGCGCGGTGGCCCAAGCCTGTAGTCCCAGCTACTTGCGAGGCTGAGGCAGGAAAATCGCATGAACCAAAAGGCTGAGGTTGCAGTGAGCAGAGATCCTGCCACTGCATCTCAAATAATAATAATAACAGAAACAAACAAAAAAGACTCCATGAGCCTACAGAGAAGCCATATGCAACAGAAACTCAGAAATCCCAGCGCTTCTAAACTCAGGAATTTAAGACCGCCAGATCTTATTTGTACCCAGTTATATTCAGCTGGGCTGGAAGGTCCTCATTTCAGTTGCTCTTCCCGGAGTTTCTAGCCCGGAGTCCTTGGAATGTTTTCTTTGGAAAATTTTTGCGACAATTGTAGATTCACATGCAGATGTAAGAAAGAATGCAGGGAGCTTCCTTGAACACTTTATCCAGTCTCCACCCCCCGCACCCCACCCCCGCCAAAGGCCACATTTTGCAAACTTGGAAGAGGTTTTGAGAGATGTCCCCGAGTTCCAAATTATCTACAAAACTGGGAGGAAATTATATTTTCTCAAATGTGGCCACAGTCTGTCTTCTGCTACACTTCATTTTATTTTTCTTTTATTCTTTATTTTTGAGACAGTCTTGCTGCATCTCCCAGGCTGGAGTGCAGTGGCGCAATCTCGGCTCATTGCAACCTCTGCCTCTCGATTTCAAGTGATTCTCCTGCCTCAGCCTCCCGAGTAGCTGGGATTACAGGTGCCCAGGTGCCCACCGCCACGCCCAGCTAATTTTGTATTTTTAGCAGAGATGGGGTTTCACCAAGTTGGCCAGGTTGGTTTTGAACTCCTGACTCTAATGATCCGCTCACCTCAGCCTCCCAAAGTGCTGGGATTACACGTGTGAGCCACCACCCCTGGTTTCTGCTACCTTTTAGAGATGGGATAACAGGCCATCTCTAAAAGGGTCAGGCCACCGGAGGGTCAGGAACTGGTAGAGTCGGTGTTGGGAAGGTGTGAGCCCTGAGCCTTCCCTCCCCTGCCTCACCTCACAGGAGTCCCAGGCCTCCTGGCTGGACGCCGTGGTGCCCCATTTGGCTGAAGTCCTGCAGCTAGAGGACACGCCCAGCATCCAGGTGGAGGTGGGAGTGCTGGTGCGCGACTACCCAGACATCAGGTGAGACTCCCCGCCTGCGCGCCGGGGCTGGCCAAGCCTGGCCGAGGTCTCCGGGCGGCCTTGGCATCCGTCCCCGGGTTTCCTGCCTCCTGGGCGAGGGAGGGAGCCAGCGAGCGTGTCTGACGACCGTTTCCTGCTGGAACCAGGGCATTATTAATATGATTTCCCTCCTTCTCCTGCCGCCTCTGCTGCCTCCGCCGCCGCCACCAGGGCTCGCAAACAAACAAGCGGTCACAGGAAGCCCGGGCAGGGGGGCGAGGGGCCGCCCGCCCGGAGGCAGGAAGGGCCGGCCCCGCAGGGGAGCCTCGGGGGACTCGGGGACACGCAGGGCACGCGGGCGCATATGCACTGGGGCAGCGGCAGGCTCAGGCGGCATTCAACTCCTCTTGGGCCACTTCCTTTCTATATGACTTCTCTGAGCCTCAGTTTCCTCATCCGTTCCATGGGGATAATAGTATTCTAGTCATAGGGTTATTGGGGAAATTCATCATCATCATCATCATCATCCATGAGGATCAGATTGGTTAATTCCTGTTAAGCGCTTAGGACAGTACCTGGCTCAGACTTAAAATTCCATGAATTCCCAAAAGTAGCCTTTTGGTGTGGTGGCGCATGCCTGTACTCCCAGCTCTTTGGGAGGCTGAGGCAGGAAAATCGCTTGAACCAAAAGGGTTCAATTACAGTTCTCACTCAGAGTTCTTATGTCAGACCTAAATAAGCATCTTACCTGCCAAACTTATTTTTTTTTTTTGTTTGTATTGTTGTGGTTTTGAGATGGTGTCTTACTCTGTCACCCAGGCTAGAGTGCAGTGGTGCAATCTCAGCTCACTGCAGCGTCCGCCTCCTGGGCCCGGGGTTCAAGCGATTCTCCTGCCTCAGCCTCCCGAGTTGCTGGGATTACAGGCGTGCACCACCATCCCCAGCTAATTTTTAAATTTTTATTAGAGACAGGGTTTCACCGTGTTGGCCAGGCTGGTCTTGAACTCCTGACCTCAGGTAATCTGCCTGCCATGGACTCCCAAAGGGCTGGGATTGCAGGTGTGAGCCACTGCACATGGCTTTTTTTTTTTTCCCCTCAAGACAGGGTCTCACTCTGTTGCCCAGGCTAAAATGCAATGACGTGATCTGAGCTCACTGCAACCTCCGCCTCCCGGGTTCAAGCAGTTCTCCTGCATCAGCCTCCCACCACGCCTGGCTAATTTTTGTATTTTTAGTAGAGATGGGGTTTCAACATGTTGGCCACCCTGGTCTTGAACTCCTGACCTCAGGTGATCCACCCACCTCTGCCTCCCAAAGTGCTGAGACTACAGGTGTGAGCCACCATGCTCAACATATAAGAAAGAGGTATAATTAAAGTTATTGAGGTAACTTTTCCCACAAATCACACCCAGCAAGTGGCAAAGGAGGGACTTGAACCCAGGCAGTAGACTAGCTCTAAAACAAGAGCACCAGACCAGCACACCACGCCACCATGGGACAGTGCTGGATTGCTGGATGGTGGTGGCCATAGTGGTGGCTGCAGGAGCACCCCCCGTGCTATTCGGGCAGACAGACATTCTGTACTCAGAGAAACAAAACCCCAGAAAAACAGGGAGTGAGCCATGAGTGGGTCTCAGTTCCAGCACTGAGAGTGGGGGTCCTGGAAATGATTCACAGTGGTCAGCTCTGGGTCTGGGGGATAGGGTCATGTCCTTGGGAAGCCACAGATTCCTGGACTCTCATGGGGTCCCAAGAAGTCCAGAATTCTTGCTAATAATGGAGTTTCTGAACTTGAATATTGGATTGTGAGTCAGAACTTGAATCTATAGCTAAGTTTGAGAGTTTGCTAGCTGGACTGGGTTTAAGGGAATGAGCTTGAGAAATTAGGAGGTGCCTAGGGCTGAGGATTTAGGGAGAATGGGGTGCAGGGTTCCTTTCTCTTTTTCTTTCTGAGATGGAGTCTCACCCTATTGCCCAGGCTGGAGTGCAGTGGTGCGATCTCGGCTCACTGCAACCTCTGCCTCCCGGGTTCAAGCAATTCTTCTGCTTCAGCCTCCTAAGTAGCTGCAGCTGACCATTCACGGATGAGTGTTTTGAAGCTGTGGGGGTTCCGAACCTGACATATGGCAGATAAAGACACTGATCTGGGTTGTAGGTGGTAGCAAGGACCCTAGAGCTCTGTTTGAATGTTTTTGAAATGAACCTTGGGTTCAGCATCTTGAGTTGGCAGTATGGTGGTGGTTTGGGAGTTGAGTTTTGAATCGGAGATCTGGAGCTGATGCGGGGGGAGGGGAAGGGGAAGGACCTAGTGTGTTGGATTTAGGGGCGAGGCTTGCAGAATAGAGCTGGTTTGAAGCATGATGTTTCTGGAGTGAGGGTCTCCAAGGTGAACTGTAGTCCTGGGGTGGAATTTTGGTGGAGCGCAATTCTGGGGATGGGATGGGGGTACAGTGACTGCTCCAGGGCCCCATTTGGGGATGAAATTTCTAGAATGGGGCTGGGTGTGGTGGCTTATGCCTGTAATCCCAACACTTTAGGAGGTCGAGGTGAGTGGATCACAAGGTCAGGAGATCAAGACCATCCTGGCCAACGTGGTGAAACCCCATCTCTACTAAAAATACAAAATTAGCCAGGCATGGTGGTGTGCTCCTGTAGTCCCAGCTACTTGGGAGGCTGAGGCAGGAGAATCGCTTGAACCCAGGAGGCAGATGTTGCAGTGAGCCGAGATCTCACCACTGCACTCCAGCCTGGCAACAGAGCTAGACTCCATCACAAAAAAAAAAAAAAAAGGATAAGAAATTTCTAGAATGGGACCTAGATTGAGAAGCCTTGAATTCAGTTTTAGATGAGGATTCTGGAACTCCGATGGTGGGGAAGCTTCTGGACCTGGCCTTGGGGTGAGGTGGGGGTTAGGACGGGAGTGCGGGTGAATGCTTCTGGGCTGGACTTGAGTAATGATTGTGGTGCTATTTGGGATGCAAGTGAAAATGAAAGGGTTTCCTGTAGCATCCAAAGCTTCAATCTGCACTTGGGGACCAGGGTAGAAATGTGGGAGACCTTTGTTTTTTTTTTTTTTGAGACAGAGTTTCGCTCTTGTTGCCCAGGCTGGAGTGCAATGGCGCCATCTCTGCTCACTGCAACCTCCGCCTCCCAGGTTCAAGCGATTCTCCTGCCTCAGCCTCCTGCGTAGCTGGGATTACAGGCACCCGCCACTATACCCAGCTAGTTTTTTGTGTGTTTTTAGTAGAGAAGGTTTCACCACATTGGTCAGGCTGGTCTGGAACCCCTGACTTCAGATGATCTGCCCGCCTCAGCCTCCTAAAGTGCTAGGATTACAGGTGTGAACCATCGCGCCCAGCCAAGAAGGCGAATTTGAATCACAAGCTGAGGCTTGGGATGAAAAGGAAGATCCCAGGGCTGGCTTTGGAGGAGTGTGTTTTGGAGTTGGTTGTAAGGGGATTTGGAGATGGTTGGAGGTGACATTCTGGAGGGAGCTGGTATGAGGTGAGGGCCTGGGTGAGGGAAGGCTCTGGAGGGGACACAGAGGCCCCAGAACTCAGGGTCTGGGACAGGTGAGGGGGTCAGGTGGGGTCCAGGGGTGGGCTGGGTGTGTGTCTAGAGCTGGAGACCTCCAAGCACCTGTCTGTCCCTTTCCCCACAGACGGAAGCACGTGGCAGCCCTCCTTGACATCCGGGGCCTGCGGAACACAGCTGCCCGCCAGGAGATCCTAGCCGTGGCCCGGGACCTGGAACTCTCTGAGGAAGGAGCATTGTCACCCCCTCGGGACCGGGCCTTCTTTGCAGACATCCCTGTGCCCCGCCCATCTTTCTGTCTCGGCCTCCCTCTCCTCCTGGGCCGCCTCCCCCTCTCGCGGCTGGCCAGGCCCAGCTTGGCCTGTCTGCCTCGGCCGCGGCCCCCGACTCTTGTGCGGCCCCGGGCCCAGCGCTGAGGGTCACCCAGCTGCCTGCGTTGGTGACCCCATCTGTGCTGCTGACAAGCCAGCCTCCTGCACGGCGCCCCTCCTGACTCCCTGCCTGGGACCACACACCCCTGGGATAGAAAGACCCTCAGATGTCTTCTCGCCCAACCCCAAACTCCCTGGACAGAAGGGAAACAGAGGCCAGGCACAGACGCTCACGCCTGTCATCCCAAGACTTTGGGAGGCTGAGGCCAGAGGACTGCTTGAGCCCAAGAGTTCAAGACCAGCCTGGGCAACATAGTGAGACCCCCCATCTCTACAAAAAAGTTTAAAATTAGCTGGGCACGGTGGTGTGTGCCTGTAGTCCCAGCTACTGGGGAGGCTGAGGCTGGAGGGTCACTTGAGTCCAGGAGTTCAAGTCTACAGTGAGCTATGATTATGCCACTTCACTCCAGCCTGAGGCAGCAAAGCAAGACCCTTTCTCAAAAAAAAAAAAAAAAAAAAAAGGTGGGAGGAAAACAGAAGCCAGAGAGACAAAGGATCTTCCCAAGGCCGTGAAGCCTGTTCCCGCAACTCCCCTCTTGCCATAGCCCAGAGTGGTGAGTGTGTTCTGGAAGTCTCTACAGAATTCCAGCACCGCCCCCCCCACCCCTTTCCCTCACCTCAAGGTCTGGCCCAAATCCAATGTATTAAGGAACGTTCGATACTTAGAATAAAGAGGTTTCTATTTAACACAAGGAAGGGCTGAGTCCTGAGCGTGCTGTGGGGAGGAAGGACCGGGGGAGCAGGGCCCAGGGCCAGTGGCTTCTCACACACCCAAGGCCGGGCTGGGCTCCAGCTCCTGGGCAGGGCAGTGGAGGCAGAGGGAGGCCATGTGCGCCAGGAACTACGCCAACTCCCGTACACCTCCCGGCTGTGCGGCTCTGAGGCCGGCTCTTGGCCACTCTGAGCCAGGCTCTCTTGTCTGGTCAGGCCCAAAGTGCCCGGTCCTGGTGGCTTCATCTTGGCGCGCCCTCCCCATCCATCCTCGGCCGGGAAGCCGCTGTGTCAGGAGAGGAAGGAGGTGGGGGGCAGGGCTGGCGGCATCCAGGACGCCCTCCTGGGTTGACGCAGGAAAGAAGTCTCAGGGTGGGAAAATTTCCAACCTCTCACCCCCAGCCCTGCCGGATCCTGGTCCCCACGGAGACCTTGAGGTCACCTCTCTGCTGACCCCTGCCCCTCCGGCCGGGGCTGGACAGCCTGTGATGGATGTTTCCTGACTTGTGGGATTTTTTTGAGTGTATGTGGCTGGTTTGTTTGTTTTTTCTCCCCCCCTGCCCCCCCCAAGAAGTCAGAAAGAGGAGGCAGCCAGGGGTTAGCATCGGGGCTGGGGTTGGAACCTCACGCATGCACATTTGAACTTGGGGAGGTAGAGAGAAGGACTCTTGGAGCCCAAGGCTGTGTGACCCGAGACAGGAAGCTGCCCCTCTCTGGGCTGAGGTTCCCATGCCTTTTTAGGAAATTGCTTAAACTCTCTTTGCCCAGGCTGGGGTAAGAGTGCCCTGAGGATGCACCCTCCTCATTTTGCCTGAAAATGACACTTTCAGGCCGGGTGCGGTGGCTCATGCCTGTAATTCCAGCACTTTGGGAGGCTGAGGTGGGTGGATCATGAGGTCAGGAGTTCAAAACCAGTCTGCCCAACATAATGAAACCCCGTCTCTACCAAAAATGCAAAAAATTAGCTGGGTTTGGTGGTATGCACCTGTAATCCCAGCTACTTGGGAGGCTGAGGCAGGAGAATTGCATGAACCCAGGAGGCGGAGGTTGCAGTGAGTTGAGATTGTGCCACTGCACTCCAGCCCGGGCAATAGTGCAAGTCTCCGTCTCAAAAAAAAAAAAAAAAAAAAATCAGAGAGCCCAGAAATAAACCCTCACATATATGATCAAATAATGTTTGACAGGGATGGCAAGGCCATTCACTGGGGACAGGACTGTCTTTGCAAAAATGGTACTGGGAAAACTGGATATTCACATGCCAAGGAATGAAATTAGACCCTTACCTAATACCTTATACAAAAATTAACTCAATATAGATCAAACGCCCAAATGTAACAGTCAAAACTATAAAAATTCTTTTTTTTTTTTTGAGACAGAGTTTCACTCTTGTTACCCAGGCTGGAGTGCAATGGCGCGATCTCGGCTCACCGCAACCTCCGCCTCCTGGGTTCAGGCAATTCTCCTGCCTCAGCCTTCCGAGTAGCTGGGATTACAGGCATGCACCACCATGCCCAGCTGAATTTTTGCAGTTTTAGTAGAGACGGGGTTTCACCATGTTGACCAGGATGTTCTCAATCTCTTGACCTCGTGATCCACCCGCCTCGGCCTCCCAAAATGCTGGGATTACAGGCGTGAGCCACCGCGCCCGGCCAAAACTATAAAATTCTTAAAAGAAAACGATGTTGGATTTGGCAATGGTTTCTTAAGAATGACATAAAAGCACAGGCAATGGAAGAAAAAATATATCAATTGGATTTCATCAAAATTAAAAACTTTTGTTTATCAAAGAACACTATCAAGAGAGTGAAAAGAGGCTGGGCGCAGTGGCCACGCCTGTAATCTCAGCACTCTGGGAGGCCGAGGCAGGTGGATCATAAGGTCAGGAGTTCAAGACCAGCCTGGCCAACATGGTGAAACCCTGTCTCTACTAAAAATACAAAAATTAGCCAGGCATGGTGGTGCACCTGTAATCCGAGCTACAAGGGAGGCTGAGACAGGAGAATCACTTGAACCAGGAGACAGAGGTTGAAGCAAGCCAAGATCGTGCCACTGCACTCCAGCCTGGCGACAGAGCAAGACTCAATCTCAAAAAAAAAAAAAAA